TAATATGCATGGGATAATTTGAATTCCTTTGCATTTACTTAAGAATGTTCTATGTGCTAGTATGTGGTCTATTTTAAAAATGTCCCATGTGCAGCTGAAAAAAATGTGTATTCTGATGTTGTTTGGTGGAACCCTCTGTAAGCATCTACTAAGTCCATGTGTTCACAAGTTTGAGTAAGTTCTTTTGTTTCTTTGCTGATTTTTTTGTCTAATTAATCTGTATCTTTGTATCAGTGGGGTGTTAAGGTTCCCCATTACAATTGTGTTTTTGATTATTTGTTTTTTCATGTCTGTTAAAATTTGTCTCATACGGTTGGGTGCTCCTGTATCTGGTGCATAGAGGTTTATGGTTGTTATCTCTTCCTCTTGAAGTATTTCCCTAACAAGTATGTAGTGACCTTGTTTATTTTGTTTGATCATTGTTGGTTTAAGGTTCTCATTTTCTATGAACAGAATAGCTACTCCTGCTTTTTTCTGCATTCCTGTCACTTGCAGTACTGTTTTCCCTGCTTTGATTTTGAGTCTATGAATTTCCTTTTGAGCTAAATTTGTTTCTTGTATACAGCATATTGTTGGATTTTGTTTCTTGATCTGCTCTGCCAGTCTATTTCTTTTGATTGGTGAATTGAGGCCATTTACATTAGTGGTTATAACTGATCTGTATTGTCTTACCTTTGTCATCTTATTTTCCTGTTATTGGTTTCCAACTTTTTCCCTCTGTTTAATTTCTTGCTGTGCTAGGTGTTTCCTTTGTATTGTTGTTCTTGAAATTGTGCTCATTCTTATGTCTTTCTAGAATATCTTTTAGTACTTTTTGTAGGGTTCATTTTGGGCTCATGAACTTCTTTAGTTGTTCTTTGTTGTGCAAATGTTTTATTTCTCCATTAATTTTGAAGGATAGTTTTGGAGGGTACATCAATCGGGGTTGGAAGTTGTTTTCTTTCAGGACCTGAAATACTTCACTGTAATGTCTTCTTGACTTGATGGTTTGTGTTGAGAAACCTGCCATGATTCTGATGGGCTTTCCTTTATTGGTGATCTGTTTCTTTTTTCTCAGAGCTTTTAATGTTCTGTTCTTTTGCTAAATTTCTAGGATCTTGATTACTACATGTCTGGGTGTAGATTTATTTTGGTTATGGCTAATTGGAGTTCTATATGTCTCACTTAAAATATGTCAGATTCTTTTTCCATGCTTGGGAAATTTTCTGCTATTACTTCTGCAAATAGTCTTTTTATGTCAGTTTTATTGACTCCTGCTGTTTCATTGACACCTTTTAGTCTTACATTGTTTTTCTTTGCTTCTTCTTATAACTGCTGAATTGTTATTTCCTGGTTTCTTATTATTTTTAAGAGACCTCTCCTTTCAGGATAGTTAGCTGCAATGATATATTCAATTTCTGAAAGTCTATCTTCAGCTTCATTCAAGTGGTTTTTCCAGGTTTCAATGTAATTTTTGATTTCCTGGATATCTCTTTGAATCTGTTCCATGCATTCTAATTCTTTCCCATTGTTCATTCAAGATTTCTGTCACTTTTCTATGTTCCTCTATTTTTTTTATCTACATCTTTTTAAATGTGCTTTGCAATTCTTTCATTATTGCTGTCATTTCTTTTTCTTGCCTGAGAGATTATTTCTGGTCTGCTTTCTTCTATGGCCTGATGGAGTTGTTTCTTTAGTTCTAAGTTCTCCTATGTTGATTTCTCCTGGAATTTTTCTGTGTGAGGTGGAGTTCTGAGATTGCATTTTGCTCCAGGAGGTCAAACAGTGAGCCTCACCCTTCTTTGGCAGCTTTCTGAAGGTTCCTTTGTTCCTGGAGTCAAACTCATTCTGTGAGGGTGACAGGAGGCAGAATACCAAGCCTGGCCAATCCCAGGCAGCTCACTCAATGTCCCTGGGTTTATCAGGGGTCAGACTTCTCCCACAGTTCTGTCAGGAAGCAGAGCACCGAGTCCAGCCTTTAACTCTTTTGGGAAGATGCCTAGAGGAATAGCTGAATCAAATGGAATTTCTATTTCTAGTATTTTGAGAAATCTCTAAAGCTTGCTTCAAACACATATGAATAATAATTGTCAGAATTAAATGTATAATGATAAGAAATGCCTTTCTTTTTAAAAGATTCTATTAGCAATGTATTCTAATCACCAATATGTAGTTTTATGTCAGGATAATTGGCATATTAGTTCATATATAAATATTATATATATTATACATATATTTCTTAATCTACTAGCTATTTTGGAATATCTCAATTATTGTCCACCATAGATATACTATTGTGTTACAGAAAATTAGAAATTATTTACCCTATTCAGTTACCCTATTTACCCTAATACCTGTAAAATATCCTTTCTCCACTTCCCCCTTCCTGCACCTTTCCCAGGCTTTGGTTAACTACTATTCTAGTCTATACTACTTTGAGATCAACTTTAGATATTTAGCTGTTTATCTTTAGCATGTATCTTTCTATATAATTTATCTATCTGATTTTTAACTATTCTCACATTTTTAGTGATTTCTGTAAGGATTATGTTATACCTACTGTTTAGCATTTTATGGTCCATTTAAAATTATTTTACCACTCCAATAAAAATCTAAATCTTACAATAATGTAGATTATTTTACCAGCTCCACTTTATAAGTGTCCATTATCTTTTCTCTTCAGACTTTTTAAACCTCAAGAGACAAAGTTATAACAATGATTCTAGCAGTCATATGCATTTTAAATAATGAAGTAAGAAAAATAGTTGTGACTAAAGCTATAGAGAGCAGGGGGAATTCTATCTATTTGATATCTTAATTTCCATTGTTTTGGGTATATGCCAGAGGCTGGTAGCTACCATATGGTAGTTCTACTTTTATTCTTTTAAGGAACCTCCATAATTCTTATACTATTTAAACTTTCAGAAACATTGGGAATGTATTCCAGCTTCATCAACACTTCTTTTTTCAAAAATATGTGTTTATATATATACATTTCACATTATTTTATATGTAATAGCCATCATAAATTAGATGTTGAGAGCCTATTGCAGTTTTGATTTGCATTTCCTTGCCCATTAGTGATACTGGACACCTTTTCATATACCTGTTGGCTCTTTGTATGTTTTCTTTGATAAATGTCTCTCCAAATCCTTTGGCTAGTTTTGTTGTTAGATTGCTTCCTGTTACTGTAGTACAAGCATTTCTTAAATATTTTGGATCTGAGCCCCTAATTAGATATGTAGTTTGCTAATATTCTCCTCTTTTCCATAAGTTGCTTCTTTGATATACAGAAAGACTTTTAAGTTTGATGTGATTACACTTGTATGTTTTTGCTTGTGTTGCTTTATTTTTCTTGTCGTATCCAAAAAATCATTTCCAAGGTCAATGTTATGAACATTTTTCTCCATTTGTTCTGTGTGGTTTTACAGTTTTAGACCTTATGTCTATGTCTATTCCACTTTGAGTTAATTTTTGCATATGGTGTAATATAACCATTGCATTTCATTGTCCTGCACATATTACTCTAAATACTCAAGATGTAGAATCAATCTTAAGGTCAACTGACAGAAGAATAAACAAAAATGTGGTATACTGATACAACTGAATATAATTCAGCCTTTTAAAAGGACATCCTGCTATTTGTGATGATGTGGATGAACCTGGAGGATATTATATTCAGTGAAATAAACCAATCACAGATAAATACTTATAAAATTGCCAAAAAATAATAAAACATAAAAGCAGAGAATACAATGATGATTTCTAGGGACTGGGATGGGAAGAGACAAATTGGAGTTATTGTTCAATGGGTATAAATTTCAGTTATATAAGAATACATTCTAGAGTTCTTCTGTGCACTACAGTGCCTACAGTTAATGGAATATTGTATACTTAAAATTTAAGAATATGCCTTATATTAAGTGCTCTTACATCCGTTCAACAGGAGCAATAGCAGCAAACAACAACAAAAGCAAAGGGGCAGAAGAAACTTTTAGAGATAATGTATATGCCTATTTTCTTGGTGATGATGGTTTCAAAAGTGCATGCATATGTAAAAACACATCAAATTGTATATATTAAATATGTGTACTTTTTGTATATTGATTACACCCCAATGAACTTTTTAAAAGAGAGAATTAAAATAATTTCTTATATCTTGCCATACACTTATCATTTCTTTGTTTTTCCCTTATTGAAGTTCCAGTATTTCCCTTGGTATCATTTCCCCTCAGCCTAAAGAACGTCCTTCACTATTTCTTTTAGAACAATTCTACTCATAATGAGTTCCCTCCATTTGTATTTATTTGAGAATCTGTTTACTTTGCTACAATTCCTATAGGATATTTTCACTAGCTACAGAATTCTTGTTTGACAGAATTCTTTCAGCTTTTAGATAATGTAATGAGAGAGCAATCATGTCTGGTAGGCAACTATAAGGACTTTGATTTTACTGTGAGAAAAACAGGAAGCTACTGCAAAAATTTTATCAGGGAAATGACTTGATCTATGAATTATACAGGCAGCACTGGTCCCTCAGCACTTGCTGGCTTAAGAATGGAGTGTAGAAGGCAAGCAGGAGACCATTTGGAATGCTATCATACGGACCAGGCAGGTAGCAATAGCTAGATTAGGAGTTAATATTTAAGGTAAGGAAAACTGGGTTTCTTGATGGCTAAGATGTGACTAGTGAAAGGAAAATGTGAAGGTGAAAGTGTCTTGGTTACTTTTCTCTCGTTGCTGGGACAAAATACCTGACACCCAAAATTAAGGAAGGAAAGGTTTATTTCACTTACAGTTTGTGGAGTTTTCAGTCCATACTTGGCAGGTTACAAGGCAGAGTGGCACATGGCAGAAGGCTACAGCTCATGGCGGCAGAACACAGCAAAAGCAACAAGCACAAAAGGGAGGAATGGCTGCAAGCAGCCTCTTCCTCTCCCTTACATATGCAAACTATCCAACTCAGGGTGGGTAGAGCTCTCACACCCATAATCAATCAAACTCTAAAAGCCTGCCCCATGACTGCATTAGGCTTTGGGGGGACACACAGACACAAACCATAACAGAAAGATAACTATATTTGTGTCCAAAGACACTGAGTGAATGGAGTTGTTACCTGTTGAAAAATAAAAGTTGGTAGATGGAACGATTTGCAGATGAGCAGAAGAAATATCAGTATCTTGGCACTGGTTACATTAAATTAGAACCCTGAGTCCCTAGAATGTAACATCTCCACCAGAAGGAGACCATTCATGAGTCTCTGTGTTCTACCCAGTACTGAAAAAAGGAACTTGTAGTTCTTTTCTTTGCAGGAGTTGAACATTCTTCCTATCTCTGTTCCTCCACCCTGCTCAGTTTCATCACATGAGAGCCCTTGCTAAAAACAGGTCAGACTGTGCCCACAAGTCACAGAAAGTCCCATATTTCAGAGGGTTTGTGTTCAGCTTCCCCTGTAGCCCTGAGCACTGTGTGCTCAGAGCACAGAAGTACAGGGCTGCATCACTCCAATGGGCTGAGGCCTTCTCCAGGTGGAAGGAGGATTCACTCTTCTTAAATTCAGCCTTGAAACCTCTGCTGTCTGTAACCATGGATGGCCCTGATATGTATTTGAGGACAAGTTGGAGGCCTTGGCCAGGTCGCTGGACATACCAGAAGAGAGAAGGTGTTGCACCATAGGTATAGTTGCACTTCAGCAGCAGAGGGTCTCCTTCAGTGACGGTGACTCTGGGGTCAGGCTGGGCCACGGACTGGGCTCCACTTCTTCCTGCAACATCAAGTCTGCATCAGTGAGACCAGGACAGACCTACCTGTAAGGAGGTGGTGTCTCTCTTTAGATTTTGACTGGGGAGGTGCTCCTTCTGTGGACACAGGAGCAAAGAGTACAGGATTACTTACTCAGGGTGAAGGGCAGTCCAAGGAGGAAGATGGTCACTGACAGCATGGCTTGTTGGTGAACAGTCTGAGAATGCTATTCTTGAGCTCCCTGAGCAGAAAGAATGTCAGAGATGCTGCGTTCTTACAGTTGAAAAAATCTGAGATTCAGGGGTTTCCTGTCTGGGCAAGGCCTAGAGGCTAACACCTAAAATGCTTCCTTAAAGACTCTTTTGGAGTTGCTCCCGCTCGGAATGCACTCAGTCTGCTGTGAAGGGAAGAAGCTTGCCAGAATGAGAGAGCTTCTGTTTGCAGAGCCTTTTTCTGTTTAGGCAACATCATCCCCTGGTGGTCAAGTATAGAAAAAATTAAATCTTAAGGTGTTTGTGCTGTTGCTTTCACGGTACAATTGGCTGAACGTATTTTCAAGGGTGTGCTTATTAGGGGGTTATTTTAATCATATGAACTAAATATTATCATTTATATAAGGTAAATGATATTATCATCCTTATTTTAAAATAAGGAAGCTGAAGAATGGAAAAAAAATGCTATGTGTTCAAGATCACGGGAAGTGACAGAACTGGAGTTTGTCTAAGTAACATGGGTCACGAATCCATAGAATTAACTTTTGATAACTGATGCAAATTTCCCACGATAGCCTTTTAGAGTAGATATTGCCCTTACTTAACAGAATTGAAATCAAGTCTCTGTGAAGTTAAATAATTTGTCTAAGGACACAAGAGAAATAGGATCTAACTCTTTTCCACTCCAAACTCAGTTCCCTTCCCACTAGGTTACTTGATATAGAGCTGCTCTGATAGAGAAGGTGCAATTTCACAGAGACAAGCGCTCAGAGAAAACAGAGGAGAATAGCTACTAGAGAAAATCCTCCAGGAGTTCAAACACTGCAGCGAGAAAAAGTAGAGGAAGTGTCAAAGAAACCTCAAACTGTTCCGAGAATGAAATACAAAATCAGAAGTAAGTTGGGTTCTTAGAAGGGAGGAGGAGTTTTAGGAAAAAAAATGAGGTCAAAGGAGGAAACGCTGAAGAAACATCTAGCAGGAAGATGACTTCTCACATCTGTTGAGTTTTTAACAGCACAGTGATCATGATCACAGTGATCATCTCTTCTGCAGAAAATAAACTGTACTGAAATGAGGCAAGGAAGAAAAATTTGAATATAGAAATCTCCTTAGGGATTGCTGAGTCATCTGAAGAGAAAAGGGACGTGGTGGAGACTAGACAGAGGCATTGAAGTAGTAATGGATGGTTTTGTTTTTTTTTTTTTAAATGTGGCATGTTTACATGTTTTTGGAAAGATTCTATGAGTCATGGATCAGAGTTCTCAGAAGACAGGATTGGAATATAATCATGGATCAAAGTACCAAATTTTGGTACAAGGAACAGTTATTTCTAGTTTCATTGAAATAAAGGAGGAGTATTGGACTATCTTGAAATTTCTGGCACCATATTAATTAGTGCACTGCCCTTCACTCAGTTTGCTGTGCATCTCAGCACATGGACAAAATGAAGACAAATTTTCTGCCCAAGTGTAACACACGTGGCTTCTAGTGCCACTACCAGTGAAGCTTTCCTTGTCCCCACCTGAAACCTCAAGATCTTGGTTTTACATTTGCATTTCTATCAGTTTTTGGCCTTTTGAGCTTTGACAGAATTGCCTACCAAGCTCTGCTTACAGCATCTTAGGGTTTCTTTCATCTGTATCTCCAAGATTTTCCAAATTCCTCCTGCAAACCAGTTTTAAAAGGTCTTGAGCCACCTGGCCAGGTAGAATCCCATAGCAATTACCCAACCACTGGTGTCACTTTTCTGTATTAGTCAGGTTTTCTGATGTAGGAAAAAATGTCAGATGCGCACAACTTAAATGAGGAGAGGTTGATTTTGACTCATAGTTCTCAGCAGATTAAGTCCATGGCTGGTTGGCTCCAAGGCAGAATGGCATCATGCAGAAACTTTGCTGAACTCATGACAGCCAGGAAGAAGAAAGGGAAGGAAAAAGTTGGGGACAAGAATAGACCTTTTCAGGTCGTGTCCATCCCTGCAGTGACCCACATCCAACCACTCCTTACTTCCTAACGGCACATTCAGCTACTAAGCTTATCAGTGACGAATTCACTGATAAGTATAGCGCCGCCATGATCCAATCACATTCCAAACTCATAAGACTTTGCATGGACATTTTAGACTCCATAACACCAGAGCAAATAGCCTTGTCAGTTTGCAACTTTAAAGTACAACTTTAGGTACAGTACAAGTATTTCCAAAAGATCAGCAGGAACCAAGTGACCCAGACAAAAGTTTCTTGAAATATGTCGATGTGCTACCTAAACCATTTTCCATGTATCCAAACCATTAGAAAAGCCCTGATCTCCCACCCTGTTATTCCTGTCTTGGGAAATTGGCTGTTCTCTCTCTGGACAGGGCACTCTGATCTGAATAAACTCTCTTCTCTCCTTCTGATGGACTGGTAAAATTCTTTTCACTGACCATGTCACTGATCCTTCTTGTGCTGTCTCACATAGCAGAGTTATTTTGGAGGAGGAAGCCAATAAACTCCAATCAGAGAGTCAAATTGAACTTGCGAGTGAAATTCTTGCTTCTGTAGATTCTAGCAAGAAAATGTCACAGAGTCAAAGGATAAGTCTTTTTAATAAAAAAAAGATATACTGACATTTTGATAAGATTATAATAAAGAAGGAAATAAGCAATTAGTGAAATAAGCCATAAAATATCCAACTATCCCCTGCTTAAATTTAATAAAGAACCCAAACTAAATTGTAATTATTTTGGCATTTTTTAACCTTCAAAGGTTCATTATTTTTAGCAGCTATTTCAACATGTGAAATAATTTCATTGCTAGCCATTAAGCCATCTTTTGTCTTAAACTTATGAAGCTGTTTAGAATGCACCTCTATTCTATAGTTCTTGTGATTTAACTTATCTTCTACTTACAGTATAGATTAAAAATATAGAAATATATAAAATAGAGAAAAGAAAGTAGGAAAATTAAGATGGAAAGTCTTAAGGAAAAGGAAAAGACAGCATATTTTGAGAGGACCTGGGTGCAAGGGGTTAATGTTCTAGTAAGACAAAAAATATCCTGAAGTTCTGCTACTGAGGATTAGCAGCAGGAATGAAATAATTATATCTGAGAGACCCCTACACACATGTTCACTGCTGTACTCTTCACAGTAATTCAGACATTGAAGTCAGCCAGTGTCATAAGTGAATGGATACATAAGTTCTGTCATTTGCAGCAAGAGGGCGGAACTGGAGGACATCATGGTATGTGAAATAAGGCAGGCAAGAGAGACACACAGTGCAGGTTTCTACTCATTCATGAAAGGAAAGAAAACCCCAAAAAACCCTCTCACCTCAGAAGAAGAGAATGAAGTAGCAGTTGCTAGAGATTGGGAGATGTTATGGTTTGGATCTAAAATGTCTCTCAAAAGGTTCATGCATTGAACACTTGATCAGTAATGCAGCAGTGTTCCAAAGCAGAGCCCACAGAGTGACTGGATCGTGTGGGTGCTGACTTCATCTGAGGACTAATCCACTGATGGCTTTGTATGTAAGTGGGCTATCAGGAGGTATGGCCAGTTGGATGAAGTAGGCCGCTAGGTATATTTATTTGAAAGTAATATCTTTCTTGTCCTTGTTCTGTCTGTCTGTCTGTCTGTCTGTCTCTCTCTCTCTTTCTCTCTGTATCTCTCTCTGTCTCTGTCTCTGTCTCGCTGTCTCTGTCTGTCTGTCTGTCCCTATCTCTCTCTTTCTCCTGTTTCTTGTTCTCCCTCCCAGTGCTTCCTGTCTGCCATGAGATGAGCAGCTTTCCTCTGCCGTGCCCTTCTGTCATTGTTTCTCATTCACCAGAGCACTAAAACCAACTGAGGCAGCTAACTAGCTGACCATGGAATAGAACCTCTGAAATCGTGAGACAAAATAAATTTTTCCTCCTTTAAATTGTTTATATCAGGCATTATGTCACAGTGATGCAAGATTTTATAAGTATCTTAGGACTGTTTTATATTTTTTATGATTTCAATATACTGAATTAACTCCTATGTTATAACATCATCACCATATTAATTTCCAAGCCTACAAAATATTTTATGAAAAAGATGTAAAACCTTTATTTGACCATTCAAGGGTAGAGTAAATATTTTAATTTTAATGTCTAAACTCCACAATTTAGTTGCATTTGTCTTTACTTTCAAGGGCAAAAGTTTTTATAAATTCTGAATAATAAGATAATTGGTTAAAATAAAAACATATTTTAGATTGTAGAAATTTATGGCTGAGCATCCTTTTCTAATATTCCAGTAAATTTCACTGGCCACCAGGACTTGTACAGTCACTTTCACTTGGGCTTGTGGAAATAATATCTGCTGATAGGAAATTATCTTTAATCTTGATAGGTCGTTGTCTAGTTTCATCTGAGTTCCTGACTTAAAAGAAGCTCTATTCTATAAATTTCCTGGAAATCTTGCCAGTTCATATATAATCCTTTTTGTTATTTTGGACTACATTGTGTTGACACTGATTAGTTCTTCAGAAGTGGCTTGTCAAGTAAACAATGGCAAATATTTTTTTAAAAATGTATTAGTACAAGTTTGTATTATGTGTTTACATTCCTGTGTGGAATTGGTGCATAACACATCTAAATGTCTTGTTCATCTTCTTTCTCTCCCTTCCTCCATCTTTGATCCCTTTCTCATTTGAGAAAGATTTATCTTCCTAATTCTAGTTATCTACCTTTTATTTTGCTCTTTATTTATAGCTTGGGTTTCTCACATAAGAAAAAACATTATTCTTAAATTTGTGTGTCTGACTTATTTCCCTTAACATTATGGTCTCAAGGTACATCCGCTTTCCTACAAATGACTCAACTTTATCTTTCTTTGTGGCAAAATAGGTCTCCATCAGCTATAAGTACATTTTTTTTTATCCATTTATCTGTTAGACACTTCCAAGATTTTAGCTATTAATAATTGTGCCGCTATAAACAAGGGTATGCCTGAATCACTGTAATGTGATATCTTTAATACTTCTGGGGAAGATGCCTAGTAGGGGAATGACTGAATCACATGATGCTTCTACTTTTAATTTTGGAAGAATCTCCATATTGACTGTACTAGTTTATGTTCCCTCCAAAGATGTAGAATGGTTCCTTTTTCTCAGCAGCCATGCATTTTTAATTTTATTTCTTGATGATGGCAATTCTTTCTTGGGGTAAAAGAGAATCTCCACATTATTTTAAT